GCTACGATTCTTCGACGCGCAACGACGAGCCTGAGGACGACTCGCCTTCACCCATTCTCGACGTGTGATTTCTCCGTCGAAGCGACCCGCTGGCGGTGTGTTGTGAAGACATGGCAACAAACGACAAGATCGCCAGGGATCGCTTCATCGTCGAGTGTTTTTTCGGGCGTACGAAAACTCTATGGTCTGTTGCCAGCGACACGTACAATTGCAAGAGGGAGTCGTCCTCGTCTGAGCGCCAACGAATCCGACGTTGTGGCTCAGAAAAAAGCCTCGAGAAAAACACGCAGACACCGCTGAATCGAACAAGTTCCTCTCGGGGACAGTTCACATTATCACGCGGAAGTGGACTTTTTTGACAGGTAGAGACGAATCGAGTCTGCGGGTTTGATAGTAAAAAAAAGTCCCTTGTTGGCTTGGTCGTATCGAGTTAAGGACGTCACAACGATCCTATGACAACATCCATGCCTCCTCACATGCCGTTTGGGAGGATCATTGGATCACTTTCGAATGGCTTCTCGAGTTTGCAATGTCACGTTGTTGCTATTTGAACAAATCTATTTCAGCCAGGCACAACAAATTCACTCGTGAGGAGGTCTGCGAGAGGTGCCACTGTAATTGTACAGTAATCGGTACACTAGGGTGCGCCGCAACCCCCCCGTGTGCCTTTGCTGGTTCAGCATCGTCCAGGGAAATATTATGATAAAGCTCATATATCTCCGGAAATGCATCACATGTTGAAAACGAACCGAATCGAAGAATTTTGCATTTATTTTCCTGGATGAAGCTGCTCCACAATCAAATACACTGCAAATTTTGATTCCAATACCATGTATTTTTATTCGACACCAGTCCGCAAGAACCGTATTTCGAAGTACGTCCTCCAATCAGTTGATGCTATTTTTCGAAGTATCAAGACGACAACCATGCTGTACTTGCCCACAATCTAATCGGTCCTGTATCCGACACCCCCCGCGCACGCGCCATGCTGCAGCGCTCGTCGACGTTGCCGCGGGTTGCGAGGCCAATGCTGCCCCTGACTGGAAGCACGTTTCCATTGCCCGACGAATGCTTCTCAAGTCCGGAACTGACACGGAGTGGCGAAGAAGAGTTGATCCGGATGGGATTAGATGCACTCAAGCTGCTCGTGCGCGAGACCCGCGTGGATCGAGCAGGTGGACCGGTGAATTGGACGCTGGACCACGACGCCGATGGCTTGCAGATTTATGTGGGATCGGAAATTGGAAAGGCGAAGGAGACAGTATTCATGAGCATTACAGAGATGCCCGCTACGTTGGACGAGGCTGCCAACCTCCACGCAAGCGACACGAACAAAGAATTCCACGAATTCATCACAAAGTACAATCCCGACCTTTGCGACTGCCGCGTCATCAAGACGTTGGCACCAACAACCCCCAAGCACCCCTACAACTATATTGGAATCAAGTGGTTCTGCTTAGAGTCTCCGCCGCCTGTTCGCAACCGCGACTTTGTATTTGTCGAAGTAAGTTCTCCTTTTACGACATACATAGCCTTTATTCCGTGCACGCTCGACTCCCTGGGGTTGCTTTGTGCCGTTCTCATTCTCCTATCTGAATGCTGCTGCGCTGCCTTGTCGAGTTCCTCGTCGTGGCACTAGTGTTTTCTCGTCATCTATTCGGTGTTTTCGTCGCAATTCCTATTGCATCCACCTCATTCTTGCACGTTTGTACTTTTAGTGCCGCGACGTGTTTGAAGCCAACGGTGTCAGGGGGTGGGCGCGTGTGATGGAGTCGGTGGAAATTCCATTTTGCGTTCCAGATCTCCGCAGCACCATGGGAATCGTCCGTGCAACGATTCATGCGAGCGGCATCGTATTTAAAGAAATGCCGTCTCGACCGGGCATGCTCCAAGTCATGCAAGTGTACAACTTGGACTTGGGCGGCAACGTCCCGAGCTGGATCCAACGGATCGCGATGAAGCACCGGGCCAAATCGTTGCAGCGCTTTGACATGTACTTGAGGGCGAAGCGCCTTGGCCTGCGCCCGCTTCTCTCGGACTCGGATCTGGTCAAAACATCAAGTCGACGGCGCTGCTTTCTCTGTCAATCGCGGTTTTCTCCATTTTCACGGCGCCAAAACTGCCGGCTTTGCGGCGAGGTGCGTTAATTGTTGACTTGACGGGTTAGTACTCTTTGTGTGTGGATTCTGGCGCCACCATGACATATGTACTTGCGTCGATTTCCTGGAATGCTTTTGTGTGGCAAACGTCAAGGTTGATGTGTCACTTGGGTTGGTTTGTCGCTAAGGATGTGCGCACGATTGTTTGGGTTTAGTTTCCTGTCATAGCCGTCGTCCTCTAGACAATAGCTCGAAAGTATGACACATGCCATGTCGTTTGATTTGTGCAGCGTCTGCGCGCGCTTTCTTTTGAAACACGAGATTTTGAATTGGTGCGGTGTGCACAGGACTTTGGAATTTTGTTGCATACGTCCCGTCTTGGCCTTAACAAAGACAAACGACGATTTACACACAGCGACCTTCCAATTGGTGTTCGATGCTGCGTCGTTCGTGATAGCGTCATGCGCATTCTCAAAAACACTCATGGATAGGTGATATGCCGCCACTGCCACCGGCAATGGGAACTGACCGACTCGCGACGCATCACGAGATACGTTCGTGTGTGTGTTCGATGTGCCAATGACCCAACCGTCAAAGAGGGTAGCCATGCATTCAGTGCCGTAGACGCCGACCGCGATCGATTGGAAGACTCTCGTGATATTCGTGCAGCAAGCTTCCCGACTTCACAACCTACCACCCAAGTGCTCGAAAGTCCATACGACGGGTTAGAGACTATGGATGGTTCTCGACTACGCAGACCTAACAGCCCCCTCACTCAACACCCGTCTCAAAACGGTGGTGTTGCGGAAGATATCGTGTTGGGTCCTCGCGAACGGACGTACATGTCTCCGAAACGAGTCGCACAGCCCACGTCCCGTCCTCCTCCATGCAACGATGGTATCGAGGTGTATTCACGTCCGGCGGAGTTATCGCAAGCACAAATCGCAGACCTGACCAATTCAAGTACCGCGTCACACCAGCAGCTCCTCGACTTGTTTCACCAAATGAAAAAACTCAAGCTGGAAGAACGCTATGGCGACGTCGCTGAAGTGTCGACGACGTCCGCCCCTGCCGCTATTTAATGTGGATTCAAGCCCATGCATTGCAAACTCCAACTCGGAAGCCTCGTGCTGCACGCCTTCGTTCTTCAGTTCAATCGACACCACTTGCGACAGGAGTGCCACCACCGTATACCAGTTTGAGGTCCCATTGTTTGCGTGCATTCGGTATTCCTGACCTGCGACGACACCAGGTCGCCTAACATGTTCACTTGTGCATCATCCTGTGAGTCATCAAGCGCTAAGGATGCCGTCCTGTCGCAAGCGTGCAACGAAGAAGTGAGGTGGATGCACGCCGAGAATAGCTACGTAATCCCTTTCGCACGGTATTTTCTGCAAGACATGCGGCGTCACTCGGCCACGTCCTTTTCATCTTGACCAAGCGCCAGCAACCTGTGCAAGGTGCTGAAGTCGGAGCGCTTGCTGGGGAATGACATAGAGAACAAGTGATGTGGGCATCGTGAGTCTGCCAATGCCATGTACATGTTGGCCATACTAGCGATGGAAGAATATCTGTGACGAAGAACACGCCAATCCATAGGTCTTCAAGGGTTTGCAAGTCCTCAGACCCGTGACAACGCAAGGCTCGGTCGCGCACACCAAAGCCTGCTCGTCACAAAACTCATGCTGTCGTTAGTTGATGCCACGAGCATCCCGACGATGGAGGAATCGCACGGTTCGAACGGAAGATAGATATATGTGCGATTGAGTCTAAAGTGGAGGAATGCCTACTTGTACGGTCCGCGGCGAGACATGTAGTCGTACATGGCCATCGTGCTCAGGAGCAAGACGACGCTCGTGACCTGGCCGTAGATACGCGTGTGCATGATCTTCTGCGACAACTGGATGTTCTGGTTGCGGTTCTGGTCCAAGAAGATGAGTCCGACGAGCGGAACGGCCGTGCACGCGACCGTGCGGAACGGGTAGTCGTGGACGTAGTTGCCGAATTGCTGGTACAACGGCAACGACTTGGTCGGCCCCGTCGACTGCGCCGCCTTTGCATCCGGCGCGGCCTGGAGTTCCGAGATATACTTGTCCGGGTTGCGACTACCGCGCAGCAAGTCGTTTTCGGCGGCAATCGTGAACGCCGACATGCCTGCCATCACGACCAGACCGACCTTGCCACTCACCCCGAGACGGGCACGGAACGTCGGCGAGTACTGGTGGGCCGCCGCCACGACGGCACCAGCGATGACTGTGGTCGCGGCACCGGCCTTGAAGCCGAGGCTGGCCGAGTTGGACGTGATGATGTCGCGCTTCTCGAGGGACGTGGCCATCGGGTTGCTGGCAAGTGTGGAAATGAACTCGATGGAACATTCCGTCCCCCCACCATCGGATGATGCTAAAGTTAGTCATCCAACAAACTGGTAACGCAGCGCAAAAAAAACGTGGCGGCCGACCTGAGATGTGGCTGGGGCGTTTTGTCGGATCGTTCGAAATATACTATTAACGGACATTGCGACATTCATGTCGCGTCTCTCCAAGATTATTGTGCGCACACACGATCACTGTTTCGCCGTGTTGTCTTGAATAAAGTATGCACTTATGTTTCGTTCACATTTTAGCGTTTTGGAGAGGGAATATACCCGATACGCTATGTTGAGCGGGAGAGGTGAGATGCAATATTCCGAGAGAAAATAGTCAGAATTTCCACACATTCTTCTACCGAGCGCCATAGAACCTCCATGGATGTGGTTGTCGATGGCGACATATCGAAACAACAACGTTGACACAACGCGAGCCTTGCTATACGACGCACCATCGCCGCATATCCTCTTTAGTCTGCAACGCTCATGGTGATTGTCCTGTGAAAACGGAGCGTCCCGACCGAGGCAGGCACGTTTCGCTGGTGCGTCACACCTTCATGTTGCAGTTGACTTTGGGCTCGCGTGAAGTATACTATACAAAGATCCAGTCAAACGATTTCGGGACACTTTTAGCAACCCTTTCATGTTGACTAAAAGTAGTACCCACCTTATTCCGCTATTTTTGGAGCGCACCACGTTGGAGCCCCATTTCCACATTTGCCAGCGACCCGATGGCCACGTCCCTCGAGAAGCGCGACATCATCACGTCCAACTCGGCCAGCCTCGGCTTCAAGGCCGGTGCCGCGACCACAGTCATCGCT